CCGGGACCGAGGAGCCTGCCCTCCGGCCCCCGGGCCGCGCCGCTGCGCCTCCGCCCTCGGGTTGCGGTGGAAGCGTCTTGGGGGGAGGGGGCAGGCCGAACCCGGACGTCCCGGGGGACCAGGTTGGAGGAGAAGCTGGGGGTGGAGGGGCACCCATCCTGTCCTTGCGGTGGATAAAGCCCTGCCGGACTCCCTGGCTGCCGTCGTCTCATTTTGAGTTCACTCTTGAAACTGCATTTAAAATTCACTTTGCAGAGCAATCCGTGTATATGGAGAAATTTGAAATGTGATAAACCTGTTTAAAAAAAAGTGCTAAATTGTGGTTAGGGAAGTGAACTTCTGCCTGGTTTGAGAAAGCATGGCCATTTGCTTTGGATGCCTCAGTTTTCCCATCTGTGAAAGGGGGACAAGGTTATCTGGCAGTAACATTTAGAGGCCCTAGGGGTGGGGCCGTTTGCGGGCTAGGAGGATATCTCCAGGGCTATCCTGCCTGATCTACTGTAGACCAAGCGCGGGCTGCTGGGCGTGGACCCAGCAAGGGGACATCGCTGGGCTCCAGTGAAGACTGGGTTCATGACGTGGTGGTCACTTTAACTCGGGTTTTCTCCCATTGCTTTCCCTTCCTTTTCAGTTTCTGCAGGAACAGCTTCCAGCCCTGGTGCACCCTGCTGGCACCCCCACTCGTCAGAGCTTTGGGGAGCATAGCTTGCACCCTGGAGTAAGGAGGCATTGCCCTCCTGTGCAGGATGAGCGTGTGCTTTGCGTTGGCTCTCCAGGGTCTCCCCACTGTCATCTCCCCTCCCCACAGCTGGATGGAACACATGCTCTTTTAATGCCAGTTTGGGGAGAACCTCCCTTGAAACTAATAATACACACCCCTAAAGGGAATCTGAGGAGGCTTGGTTGAGAAGCCTGGGAGTAAGGTGATCTGGCTGCCCTCCTCCCATCACAAAGCTTTTAAATTCTTCTGTCCCACATTCTGTTGCAAGATTAACACACGGCAAAGGAGCATTAAGGAGCCATGTGTTCGCTCAGGGGTGGAATCAAGACCCACTGGTGCTGGCTTCAGTTTTCAGCGCTGTTGGATGTAGCTACTGCTGCGATCGGCAGAGCAAATGCTGGGCCTTCCCAGAGCGATCGCTGCAAAGGTACTGGCGCAGGACCAGTTAGATGTGGTGGGTGGCTCCTGGCGTGTTGCCATTTCCTCCCTTCCTTCTCCACGCAGAGACAGGTCTCCTGCTTCTGCCTGTCGAGTGGCATTAATGTTGCTTGGTGCAGTGAAAAGGTGATACCTTTCTTCTCGGTTTCTGTGTCGCTAAGACCAGCTCCTGAGGGGAACTGTGAAACCAGAGCAGCTCTTTCGTGCCTGCTGGGGTGGCCTCAGGCTTACAGGGCGGAGAAGCCACTGGTGGTGTTCCCGTCCTGCTTGTGTGTGGTGACCCCTCTCTGTACTGAAGCAGGCTGGAAACTAGAGAGAGCTAGCATGCCCCAAGACAGAGCCAGCCTCCAGCTTTTTTTTTTTTTTTTTTTTTTTTGCCCTCAGTGCAGCTGGGGCTTCTTGGCACACCTGAGCAGAATGTCACAACCTGTTTCCAGTAAAACTCAGCCAGGGAGGCGAGCTGCAGGGAGAATATGAGAGGAGCGGGCCAATACTGTATCTGGAGAGTTGACACCTCCTGTGGAGTCCCTAAAAAGGCACCAAATTTAGGATCATCACCCTGGTGAGGTGAGGAACTGATAATTCTTAAGTAGGGAGTTTTACCTTTCTCTGTGGACCCTGTGTCTGGAGTAAGTGATGAAGAGTTTGGGCTCATAAGTCAGATTTCCTGGATCGATGTCCTGTTTCTAACACAACCTGCTTTTTGTCCTTGAACAAGTTGCTCTCTCTCTAACTTACCTAAAAATGAGGTTGATAATGGTTCCTACCTCATGGGACTGTGGTATTAAATGTTACTGAGCCTAGTCGGTAGCAAGTACTTGTTGAGTGTCAGCTGTTATCAGCACATCTTTCTCATTATTGTGTCAGTTGCTTAAAAAACAGTGGTGATAATGTCTGCTTGGACCTGATGGAAGCAGTCACTCATATAAACCCACATGTTCATTTATGCAAACCAAGGTGACTGCAGTATACAAAGGCTGAGGTGGGAATCCTTAACCCCGCCCCTTATAAAAGGCTACTCAGGTCATCCTGGTCCCTCCCAGTCCGACTTCCTGCAGAGGAGGTTCGGTGATGAGGAGACTGCTGTCTTTTCACTTGATCAGAGATACATTTTCACTGGTCCCCTCTTTAGATTTTTCACTCGGTGATGAATTGTTTCCAGGTAGGTCTTCTGTGGGTCTCCCTTCACCGTTTAGTTTGTCTTTGAGACTCTTAACTGATCCTTCTCATGCCTGACTCCTTTTGGTCCCAGCTGGTTTGAGTAGTAGTAGTAGGAGCAAGTAGCAATTGCATTTTTTTAAGCAGGTCACTTGACATATTTTAAACAGGCTGCTGTGTGTCCAGAGAGAGTGTTAAAAGATATCCTTCTAGGTGAGGCTTGTACAAACCAAGACCTAACATTGAGAAGTGGATTTGCTTAGTCCAGCAGGCAAGAAAGGACCCAGCAAAGCAGGAAAAAACCTTGTAGCAAATCCTTAGTGTGACTGAGAAATAAAACCTTTTCTTTCCACCACACTTCTTGTGCCAGTTTTAGACATAGGGGTCTTGGAAAACATTCACATCCCTCCACTTGTCTCCTACCTCACTGAAGTTTTATTGTCCATTGGCAGTTTAATGCGAGTTCCCATTTGTTTTAATTTCAGTTCATGTGAATTCCTGCCATAGTGATTCTTGATCAACTTGCTTTGGGCTTGTCAGCTTAGCCACACGGTATATCTGGTTCAGAGATAGTAAAGCTTGTTTGGCTGGTGTGTTGTAATTTTAAAAATGTACTGCTGCCTGCTACCAAGCATGAGAAAATGTTCCTTGTTGATAATCCTCTGACTTTTGTCCAGACTAATGGACTTAACTTACTACATATTTTTTATGGCCCTACAAATGGAAGGTTTTTTGGGGGTAAATTTTCTGCTTGAAGAGCCTTGGAATTTTCTAAAGAGGAAGCATTTGTTAGGAGAAATCAAATGTGCCTTCTAGAAATGTGACTTGTACTGATGCAACATGGCCTAAATCATCAAATCTTAATTTCATTTGTTAATACTGCTGTAAGATGTGCCATGGAAGAAATGCCATGTGTCAAATAGCTCACATTTTTGTTCTCAGAAATGACCATCTGTTGAGGACATCCATGTTAGTGGTGCTTAACTGAATGAGATGAGTCCCTATTCCCAAGGAGCTCAGTGGTTTCTTATCTTGTGGGCATATAACATTGGTGAAGATGAAATAATTTCAATACAGTGTGATATCCACATGGATAAAGGTTGAACGAAATCTCAGAAGCAGTATAGTAGAAAGACTGATAAACATAGCAGGGCCTTTCTTTAATATAATTTACATTTGACCCAAAATTGACTGTTTTTTAATTTTATGTGAGGACATTATGATAGTCAATGTAATCTGGAACTGGAATCTGCCTTTCAGTGTCTCTCCAGCTAAGCATGAATCTAATGGTGCCTCTGGATAAATTGTTGTATTTCTTGGGCCCTTAGTTTTTCCCTCAACTTGTAAAGCTGATATATGTATTTTTGGTTGTCGAAAGTGTCTTAGTAGTATTTCTTAGAGTCTTTACTTGAGTACCTAGCTACTTTGTTTAAAATGGAGCTGTATTTACCAGATATTAGCATTTCAGCATCCAGGATATTATTGGGCACTGTTGTGAGTGCCAGATTTGAATTCTTGTAAGTAGATGAAGTCGCCTTGATATGAAGGGAAAGTAAAATTAGTAAAAAATTTGTAGCAAAGCTAGGGGATTTTTATAGTGGTCATTTTATATTGGTAAGTCAATTACTTATTTGAGGAAAGTATTTTGAGACTAGTTGGAAAAAAAATTTTTAATTATTTAAAAATATGTAAATCCCAAAATTTGGGGGAAGAGATAACTTGTCTCTTCCTCATTACTGTTACTCCTGCTTCCCATTGTCAGAGATAATTGAGGGGGGTGGTAATAGCTGAGGGTCCAGTAGAGCGCATGCTTAGCATGCACTAGATCCTGGCTTCTATCCCCTGTACCTCCATTAAAAAAAAAAAAAAAGGTAATTGGAGACTGTAAGCTAAGTCTAATGTATCAGCTCAGAGTGGTTAAAGTCATGTGTGAGCTTCTACTCTGATAGTTGTCAGATTTAGAAATTGCAGCCTGAAGTGGGGTGGGTTAATATTTAAAGAAAATTCTGTTCTTCTGGCCTCTCAGATCTAATATGGAGGAGTTTGTGTTGGGTCAGGACCTGACAATTAGGTCTACAGAGTCTTCTCTGTTTTGTTTTGGAATCGTAGGGGAAAACAAAGCTGAATGCCAATATTTAGTTAGAATTAAAGATTGTGATACCATTTTCTGGATGTCAACTTAATGTGTTCCAGTTCACCCAAACAGTAAAACCTATTTATTTATTTTTCACTAATGTGGAATTTTCGTCTGTTTGGGTTGTAATTGAAAGTAATTTTCAGTTTTGATTTTCTTTAGCAATTAAGAGAAAATTCTCTAGTTTCCATGTCTTTTCTGCCCTTCTACCCTGGGCTGTCCAGTTCGTTCGAATGAGTTGAGGTTTTATGATGGTGTTTAATTCTGTGGTAGCATCAGGAGGGTATCTGTCTCTTGGTGGTTTTATCTCTAGCCTCCCCCGGAGCCAGCCCAAAGCAGATTGACTGGAAGAGTTATAAAAGGTGGTGTCTTTTAGTCTAGTTAACTTTTCTGGCCTAAATATTTTTAATGCAACTTCTTATAGTAAACCTTCAGTTGTGGTGAAACTAAATGCTAGGCTAAGGGTTTGAAAGGCCTTGCTGATCTTTAAAGAGAACAGCCACCCCAAAATGAACAAGGATAAACTTTTCTTAAGGCAGATAAGTTCTATATCAGCAACCAACCCTGGCACTAAAGGCTTTTTGGAATGTTTCTGTTCAGGGATTCTGACTTAGAGTTTTTGCACAAGTCTGCTACCTGGAATTTTACCACAATTCTGAGAATAACGATTTGCTGTGGAGAGGTCTAAGAGTGTGCGGGAGACCTGTTGGTTCTCTAAGCTCTCAACTCAGAGGTCCAACCTTCCACCTGTCCATCAAGTTCTGATTCCTTTTTCAGAACCCTCAAATTCTTTAAAGTAGCTCAGACTTCGGGCTTTTTCTAGGTGATGATCAATGTCAGGCATACAGAAAAATAAGGAGACTGATAGAATGAACACCCAGGATCTATCATCCCGTGAAGGAATATAATATTACAAATACAAGCAAGCCCTTCGCCATTTCATCCCCCTTCCCTCCAGACAGTGACCGCTATTCTGAATTTGGTGTTTTTCACATGTTTTTATACTTTTACTAGATACGTATGTATTCATAAACCAGATATAGTATTGCTTCCTCTTGTTTTAAACATGCTCTTGTAATACTGAACACTGCTTTTCAGTTTGCTTTTGTTTAAATTATGACTTTGAGATTTATCCATGTAAACACATGTAATTCTAAGTTATTTTAGCTGTTGTGTAATATTCCATCACATGACTGTGCTACAGTTTATCTATTCATTTTATCGTTGGGTTTATGGTGTTGCATGTGTGTCAGGACAGTTTTGAACTTGTCTCCCTGTGCATATGTTTAGTTTTTCTCTGTGGTCCATACCAAGAGGGGAGATTGCTGGGTCAAACGAAGTGGGCATCTTTGACTCTAACATGTTGCTGGATTGCTCTCCAAAGCAGCTGTGCCCATTTGCCTTCCAGCCAGCAGCCTTTGGGAGTTCCAGTTACTGCACATGCTTACAGACACTCAGTACTGTTAGACTTGATACTTTGCCAGTCTGATGAGCATGAGATGGGATCTTTGTGGTGTAAAATGTGCCATTTCTTGTTTACTAGTGAGGCTGAACATCTTTTCATGTGTTCATTGTGCTAGGTTGTTTTTAATCCAGGGGCTCCGGAGCGGTTTTCTAAGGCTTGCAAGTCTGGATTGCAGTGTTGGTTTTGTCTGCACAGGGAAACAGATGAAGGGGAGCATCAGGGAGACCAGAGAGAAACTCAAGAAAGATAAGGATGGAACTGAAGGTAGAGGCTGAGGATGTGATAATAAGATGAGGGAAAACTTGCAGCAAAAGGATTATAGACTGGAGTCTAGATGATAGCTTGAGTATTGAGAGGAAATTTGGGATCTGTTGCTGTGCTAGCCAGGTCTCAGCTCAAGTGACATCACTCCTGCTTTGTTTAATTGAATTTGGCTGTGGTGAGTATCGTGTCTGGGGCCCCTTCCGGTGAGGACAGTAGCAGGGCTGGACCGGTGGAGTTTTCCTGTTTACCCAGTTGCTTTTTGAAGTTCTTTTAAGAAAGGCAATGCGAAGTTACATTCTTCCTAAAATACATTTCTTCGTCTCTGGGTTAGATACACTATGCGGGAAGTCAGCTTTTATCAGGATCTACTTGAATGTACTTGTGGAATTACGACCTCAAATATTTAGAAAACATGCCTTGTGCTTTATTTTAATTTTCAGAGTATGACGAATGTCACCTTCTTGAACATAGACATGTATGGTTTTAAAAATATGATTAACAACAACTTAAAATATGTTATACATGAGTCATTTCTTTAGTGTACCA